TACAGCTGTAGATTCGACGAGCAGCAGGGGACGGGGCCCAACGGCCTATGGACAATCGACCTACACAATAGAGATAGGCTAGGTAAATAAATAGGACGTACCTGGTTCAGAGGCGAAGACTGACCCAAGGCTCGGTCAGGCCGTAGGTAGGTGTAGGTGCATGTAAAGTGGTGTTTAGTGGTGTGTATAAAATTTGACCTGATTGGACCGTTAAGTCTGACCGCAGATCCACAGCGATCTACTCCAAAGGTGAGATCTCTCTAAAGGGGGCGATCACCAATTGACAACTTCTGTCTTCATTTCACTATTTCAGTTTATCAACTTTATTGTACACTATTTCAATCCATTAACTTTATAGTACATTTAATGAACTTCCAACTCAACTAAATCCCCGTTAATCGTAATCAAAAACGTAACACACGGCACGAATAACGAACGGGCGGATCAAAGGTCACTTCCGTTTCACTTGGTAAGATTATAACCAAGAGCAAAAACGCGATCCCTTCTCTAGTCACAACGTTCAGAGTTCCTTAGCACAAATCTATAATCTAATACGAACACTGTTTCTCGCGGTTCACAAATTTTAGCGTTTTAGCCGACACAGGAAAATATCTCAGAGTTACATCCAATGCCACAAAGCAACTACTCGACGCAAAGTATTATTGTCAAGCACTTCAACCGGCAATCACTATACATATTATTATTGCAATATAATCGACTTGTATTTATATGATTTAATACATTTTGAATATTTAAAGCAGAATTTTAATAAATTTAGAAATTTTTAGAGACAATTTATGCGTTTACGAATACTATAATATTTAATATTCCAAATGAATATATTTGAACTTTATACTTAATATTGCATTTTAATTGTTTTATATTAATTTTTAATTTTTATTGTATAATTTATATGACATTTTTAAATGCCTTTACATTGAATTTAATAATTATTTATTGATAATAATTATGAGGCGTCACATTCCACCCCCTAAGGAGACAGTCGTTTTTGGGCCCACTAGAAATTTTTATAAATGTTGATGTTATTACACATAAAAAATAAGATACCAATTAAATATAGTAAATGGCTTACAAATTTTATGAAAATCTAAACGGAATCAAGAAATTAGAAAAAAAGAATTTTGATATTTGTGTTCAGGTCATTGGTTCTGCTAATGTAATTGTTCGCGCCAAACGCTAATTTCAGGAACTAACGCCAGAGGGCGCTCGGCGCGGTGCATTCGTACCGGTTTGACGTTCGCGCGAGAGAATTATTTCCTACCGGCGGCGGGGTCGAGTCGAACAGTTGCTATAACACTGTGCTATCGTGGGCATGTTTAAGGACGCCCGGGAAACCTCCATTTTTGGAGTAGGTTTTGTGAGAAGACGTTGCCACGACGAAGGTTTCTTTGTTAAGTCTAGAATTCGACGCCGGGCTGACAAATTGTTAGGAAGTTAACATTGACTGCGATCAAAGTATGAATTGCGTGTTAGGCGCGCCTAATTTACCGCGAATTCGGTTATTCTAATTTGATAGCGTATATAAGTGATTTGACAATATTAATTGCTCGTGCGGCCTTTGATATAGACTGTCATAGGGAAGAAGGAAGAAAGTGATGGTGGGTGACTCCGCGGGAGATTACCACATTTTGGAGCAGCCTGGAACTCGGCCGTTGCTGCTCGCCTATGCTTGCCAAGTCCCCACACACTCACACATCACTGTACACTACTCGCCATCCACTATTACACACACTCACGGCCTGCCCAAGCCTTGGTGCGAAGTTAGCTTCAGAGAATGGTAAGTACTATGTGTTTCTAGCTTTCTCCCATATTGTTTATTGTAATTAGTAAATTCCACGTGGCCATATTCTGGCCCCGTCCCTCTGCTGCCCGTCGATGGGATTACTCATGGGCCCTAATCCCGTCACCCTTGGCTGGGGCAGCTAGGGGCGTGTACAGTAATATTAAACAAAATTGTAATAGAGATGTGCTAATTCGGAAGAAACTCGATGCGAGTTAACTTGAGTTAAATACTCAAGTTATGCAGCTCGAATTGGCGAAAGAAGCTGTGTCAGTTTGTTACAAATTTACTTTTATATTTGTTCTCCATCCAACATAATTATTATTACTAAACTTAATACGTAGTTATATATTTTTGGTTTGCGTATAGGCAATCTTTATAAAATAATATTATTCTAACTTTATGACAATTATACTTAATCAGTTTATTAATATTACATAATATATCAATAAATTGTTCGAATTAATAAGTCGAGTTAATCACTAAATTCTAGACAGACACTGCATTGACCGTAAGATAAAGATGCGAGTCTCAAGTAAGGTAGAATTTTGTGACTCGAGTAACGCGAGTTAATAATAATTTAATAAATACATGAAAGAAGTGTTTGTGTTTGTTAAAAGAAAATTAGAATAAAACGATTTGATGTAGCTTCATCGGTACGAGTTTCCATTTACTCCCATCGAGTTTGGTGTTGATACGTACTTTTACAGAAAGGTTACATTTTTATAAGCACACACACAAAGTTTCAATATGCGGAAACACGTATTTTTTGTAAATAAATTAAAAAAAAATCACTTATTTTAACAATATTTTGTTGTTTTTTTAACTGGCTTTACGGCTCTGGGTTCTAGCCCTTTTAGCCTACTTTATTACGAATTTCCATTGACATTCGTCGAATTGAGGGGAGAGGGGGGGGGAGAAGATGTGTAGGGGGACTAATTCAGAGGGATTTCTGTATATATTTTGAGACTGCAACGTCTCCGGCGCTGCGGGAAGAGCAGCCTCTACGCCTTTGCGTAACAAATCGCAGGCATCCCTCCTCACCTCCGCAGCTTCAGCTTGTTGGTCGCTTCGTTGTTGGTCCTTCGGCGACCAGCCTCAGCCGCTCCGGCCCGTCCGATGCCTACGATTTGTTACAGCAGGCGGAGGCTACTCCCCCTACGCGCCTCCGGTTCTATATAACCACTCTAGGGGTAGGACAGACTCGTACCACGTGGAGTCGGGGTCAATAAATTTGGTTCTTTGACATAAGTAGAACCTAACCTATTTTATTTATTATCTGCCCTAATAGGTATTGTTAAAATAAAACAAATCAAATATAATCAATAATTTATTAATCAATTTTATACACATATTGTATCGCTTTAATTAATTCTGCAAAGACATCTTTATGTGATATTTTTATTTTTCTTCGCCAAGAATACTCAATGAGCCAGTCTGTGAACTTTGCTTTATAACCGTCTCTACTGAACATCTTTTTTCCATAAGAAATCATTTATTATGGTATCTAATAAATGCAAACAGGAAAATATATCTATATTTTAGAAATCCATTTTTTGTGATATCACGACAGATTACTATTAGAATCGATTTAAAAATCTATCTTTTTCGGAAAGAATCGACATCCGTACTGACGACGACAATGACATTACAAAATGGCGCCAGTTTTACGCTAGGAATGTAACATAAACATTGCAAAAATAATTAATTTTCAAATAATGTTTTTTCTCAAAAAGTACGTGTTTCCGCATATTGAAACTTTATGTGTGTGCTTATAATAGTGTAACTTTTATGTAAAACTACGTATCAATCCCCAACTTGATGGGAGTAAATGGAAAGCTAAGCCGCTTCATCGGCTTTGAAGAGCGATTTATTTAACTGTATTTAGGTATAAATACCTTTTGTATTCTGCAATTTGCTCCATAAACTTGATAATACCAAATGGCATCAAACATGTGTAGTATAGATAGTACATATATTTATGTGTAAATAAGTAGTAATTACTTCGCTATGTCCAAACTAACGGCCAACGCCTCCCCCTTGGACTCCACTGCCTCCGCCCATCTATCAGTTAGGTAACCTAAAAGATCACCAGCTGAGCGACCTCGACGGAAACCGTACTAGCGGTCACTAATCAGCTGGCGATCCTCAAGGTACCGCATGAGCTGGCTGTTAATAATGGTTTCTATTACTTTGGAGAACAAGGAGGTGATAGCAATAGGCCTGTAGTTGGACGGATCTGAGCGGTCGCCTTTTTTAGGGATCGGGTGCACCAAAGCTGTAAAAAATAGCCCCACACTATGTTTGTTTGTCTGTGAAGGAAGTGTTAAAAGAATTTTCCATCATTCTTAAAGTACCTATAATTGCTGAATGTACCTACAACTTTGTTTAATACTATTAATTAATCTATTCTATATACACTATTCTAACTCATAATATCTGTGAAAACTACTAGAATATCGCTTTTAGTTTGTTTTAAGGTTATTGTGATATTCATATTTCAACTATTAATTTCTCAGAATTCCTATTAGATGCGATAAAACTAAAATTAATTTTGTAATGATTATAAGGAATAAATCGATATACATTTCATTAATATTCTCTGAAATTCGTGGTGGGCTCATTCTCCATACAAAAAGAAATTGTCTCCTTTTATGTTAATGACCCACATAGTGGAGTTGTTAATATAAAATTTTAGTATTTCGAGAGCATATACAGTACACCCAAATAATTGTTTATATATCTGCTATTTCCTCTTTTAATCTGTTACAATACAGTATATGTTATCAAATTCCCTTACCCCAGGGAATGGCCGCCACCAACACTCCTTCAACCACATCCATCACAATGTGATAACTTCTTAATTCAAGTTATTGTATATTGTGTTGTTAATAAAGTTTCCAGTCAATTGTCGATTTCTCATTTTATTAATTTACGAGTATCTTTAACTCTAGATCACTAACCTTAAATCGGAGTAACACTATCACTAACTATTAGATTCACAGACTACGCAATGAAATGCAAATATTTTCAAAATCGTTGTTATTTATTTTATAAAAGAAACAAAAACTTAGTCCTTTCTTTAAGGAATCAAACAAAACGATGAAAAATAAACAATATTAATTCTTACAACTATTACAAATAGGAACTGTGTGCTCTCCGCAAATGGCCTTTTTGCAGTATGTACAACAGTATTTTGTCATACGCCTTTTTTTGCTGGGCAAAATCCACATATTTTTCTTGTTTTATGTAGCTCTTGTACACAACTTTCTTGTGGCACTTCAATGTTGAGAATATCTCTAATACTCTTTTTCACATCACGCTGCAAAGTCACCGTATTGTAGCGCTCGAGTAGCCAGGGTTTTATTAGTTCATCTGCCATTTGCAAGGCAAATTCTCTCCTCTTGAGCGGTTTCTTATGGTCTTGGATCATATTGCATACGTAAACAACATACGTGTTTATGATACTAATGTTTACGGTATCATAGAAGAAGCATAGCGGCCATCTATTGGTTTTGCGACCAGTGCTCATGATAGAACACATTTGATCCACGGTATCTACAGCGCCCTTTGTAGAATTATAGAAATGAATAATTTCCGGCTTCTTGGTAACATCATTGACAGTGGGTTGATCATGGGTGGTTGATAAAAGGTAAACAATCTTGTTAGACTTGGGCTTGTATGAAACCATGGTCATCTCGTTATCGAAGCAAAACATTGAAGTGCCCACTTGCCGTGCTCTAGAGTTTTTTATTTCCTGGGGTATTTCCCGTTTGTTGCTACGCAATGTACCAACAACTGTCAATTTATACGGAGCCTGGAGCATATCGGAAGCAAGAGGAATGGATGTAAACCAATTGTCCATAGTTAAGTTCCGATTCGAACCATGTATGGGTTTGGTGATCTCCTTCACCAAATAGCTCGCAAGAGGTTCGGTTCCTGGATTAGTTCCCTTGCCCAAATATGGAATGGCATTGCATACATATTTTGTGTTCGAGTCTGCCATCATAATAAGCTTAAGACCGTATTTATTTGGCTTATTGGGTATGTACATCCTAAATGGACAACGCCCTCTGAACCCAACAAGCTGTTCGTCAATAGTTATGTATGAACTGGGCTTATACCATTTTACACAGTTGCTTATGAATGCCTCCCAAAATTGTCTGAATGGAGCAAGCTTGTCAGAGGCCCTCCGCTCTGTTCTTGTTGTCTTGTCGTCAAACCTAAGGCATCTCAGTAAGAAATCAAACCTATCAGCATTCATGCACGCTTTAAAAGTAATTGCACTCCTTTTGTGGTCAAATAGTGCTCTAGTGGGCAAGTGGTTACTTTTTATAGCCATATATATATTTTTATAGCGCTGATTGTATCAAGAGACCCAGTAAAGCCTTCACTTCGTTAGTGGAAGTATGCGAGTTGGTATACTTCTTCTGTTTGTATTTAGACTTCTTGATGTCGATCTCCGTGTTGGTATAAGTAACCATCTCATTGATCATTTCATGAGAAATGAACAGGAGAAATAATTCTCTGGGGTCTGTAATCTCTATGGCTACACCTGCAAGTCCAGGGAATACGTGAATCACATTACGAGAAGATGTTCTTGCTCGTGGATTGCGAGGTCTAGTAGACCATTTATAACCGCTCTTCTTCAATAAAGGTGATTTTTATTGGAACGGATCACAAATGATGACTCAGGCTCCTGCGGCTCCTGCTGATGCTGGATGAACTCAGACCCCAACTGACCTGCATCGGATGTATTATCATCTGAATCTATTACAAATCTTCGCTTACGTGAGCGCCTGCTGACGAAAATCTCCTCATCAGATGACATCGAACCTTCTTCCTCACTTTCATCAGTTCCTACGTGGGCCATCTGCCACCATATTATCTTCGTTTTCGGATTCCGATAGTTCCTCTGCTTCCTCCTGGCTAGACTCGATGTCTGACTCACACAACCAATGTCGAATGCGCTCCTCATCCCCTCTCAAATCCATCTAAAAATAAAATTGAAAATCAAAACAATATCGTAAATGGTCCAAAAATATTCATAAAGTATGCAAAATCAATTTTCCATTTACTTTTATTCCACAAAATAATAGTACATTATTCCTATTTTACAATTAATAGGTAAAAAACCGAGCTAGCGTAAAATATAATAAAAGTAACCTTGAAAATAGAAAAATATTATAACTAAAAATAATGTTACACAGTCACTAACCTTTCGTCTGTCAGAAGACGCGACGGCTGTATGTCCTGTTCCAAAGCGCGTGCGACCGCCACGAGTGCACACGGGTCACTAACAGGACCAATCAGGAAGGTACTGAGCGGGGGAGGGAGTGCGGGTGCCGCGAACCTACCGAACTATGAAATGCTGGGGTATGCGTAGTCTGAGAGACGAATGGTTAGTGATCTAGGGTTAAATCTTTGAAACATTATTTCAATAGTGTCTCACTTTATGTGCATAAAATCCAGTTGGATGTTTGTTGAGATCAGTTGGGCACCACACAGGATAAATGTGATTGAGCCATTCACCCTGACCCAACTCCCATATTTATTTAATAAAAATGATTCCAAAATTATCTTACGAAGTATATTTTCAACTCTTCATTATTTATTAATAACGTTCTTCTATCATATAACAAACATCTTGCTCATATATTTAAAATATGTTTTAAGTTGTGCAGTGAAAAACGAATTATTAGCAAACAATGCTGGTGGATTTATGTAATTACAAGTACAATATACCTGATTGTTCTAGATTTACTATATTAAGACTTTAAAAAATCAGGAACGATTTTAAATACTGTGACGCCTCATAATTATTATTAATAAATAATAATTAAATTCATTATACAGACATTTAAAAATGTCATAGAAATTATAATTTAAACAATAAAATGCAAATAATAAGCATAGAGTTCAAAAATATCCATTTGGAATATTGAATATTATATATATTAGTAAACGCATAAAATGTCTCAAAAAATCTCTAAATTTATTAAAAACCTGCTTAAAATGTTTAAAATATATCAAATCATATAAATACAAGGCGATTATATTGCAATAACAAAGATAAATAACATTTGTAATATAATAGAAAAAATGGATTAAAATTTTCTAAGTTGATGAAGGTGTTCGTGTAATAATTGGAAAATTTCTAAGTTAATGAACGTGTTCTTGTAATGTTCCCTTATATTGGGGCGTTGTCGGAGACACATACCCAAGGTTGTACATATATATGGGGTGGTCGGCTGACCGACTGCTAGTACTAAGGTTGCACAATGACTAGTCCTATATTAGGGACTTAACATAGTAAGGTCTGACGAACCAAAGCATTAATATAGAAGGTCTCTATGATGCATAAGCATTATGATAGCAGAGTTATGACTTGAAGTCCCATATGAATAAGACATGCAGTAGTATGGTATATGAAATAAAGCAAATATGTGGAAGGTCTCAAATATGTAAAAGCATTATATTGAAAGAAATGGGACTTGAAAAGGATTATTATAGTGGCGTGTAGGTTGCTTCGCAGCCTCTGAGACCGAGGTAAACTTGGACTCACTAACCGATGTGTCCTAGACATATCATCTTAGTGCCGGTGGTAAGCGGGTTTGTTGTAGCAATACGACTTGCCCGTGGACATCGCACACCCCTACCGGTTGTGGGCGGCGTCTTAGCGCATAGCGTTATGATACGTCGGCTATCTTTCGGATTAGGGTGAGTGTGTTTGGTAGTACTTTTAAGTGCAGCAAGCATACTCAACTTCATGTCTTAGTGCAATAGCACTATGATACGTGGAGTTTTGGCTACTGACGTCTTAGTACCGTACTACTATGATACGTTGGTGGTATTTTTAGTTAACAACATTATCAAATTTTGTTACCAAAGTCGATAGGGATCATGTGGGTGTGTTGTGAGGGGGCGCCATCCGTATGATAGTTGCATTGATGCTTACTGCTACTTGCAGTATTGTGTCTTGTGATGGATCTGCGGGTGTGCTGCACCTGATTCGATGCATCTTGTGTTCTGGTCGATGGAGGTATGCGGGTGGTGATGTCTGCTGGGACTGTATGGGGGAACTTGGGATGGTGTAAGCCCGACGATAGTCGTATTGATGCTTGTTGCATTCTGTAGCATTGCGTCTCTACGATGGTTGTTTGGCGAGTCGCTATTCTCAATGGCGCTCTCTGCGTCTTGGTTTGACTCACAACCTAAGTAGCTTTGCCCAAGTCGGGTCCCTTCATTGCGGGGCTGCAGACTGTCTGCCCTCCATGATGTTTTATATAACAACTTAATAATATATCTCTATAAAATTCCTACCTTTGAGAGATTGAAGGCAACTTGTTGGTGGGTGAGACAAACATGATCGAAAAATGCATATACTCAACGTCAGTGACACAAACCCTTTCTGATGGCGAATTATTACTATTATCTTATAACTGCCTATTGGCTATATCTGCCATTGTATTGGTTGGTGGAGCATATGTGTCGACCTCATGCGGGTGGTAGCTGGAGGGAGAATCTGAGGAGGCTCTCAAGGCTGCGGCCGAAAGCCGCGCAACGTGGGACCCCATTCCCTTGAGGTGAGCGGTAGACTCATGACACGCTCTGCGGCCAGTTGGCCGTGCTGACCATGCAATTGGTGGTGATGCCTTACACTTACATCACGTCTGCAGAAACGGCGGTCTGGCAGGTGATGGCGCTCACGGAGGGCTTTTTATGGTCAGTGTGCCGATTGTTGCCTAACCCGTGTGACGTACATTGCACTGTGGCTGGATTTGATCGTATTCTGTATGGCGTTTACACGCATTGACATGCGCGACTTCGGTCGATGTTTGTGCTTACGCACTATCAAGGGGCCAAGTCCTCTTTTACTGGTTCGCCAGTTATTTTGCTGTGGACTACGGTCCAGTTCCCAACTTTGCGTACCCTTCGGGGGGAGCGCATTAAAATGGATGGCGCTCACCGTGCGCGGCGTGTGTGGGGCCGTGTACCTCCTCCACATTTTTTTTTAAAATGTGGGAGAGCGAAGCCCTTGTAACTGGTATTTGATATAAATATTGTGAGCCTTTTCCAAGCGGGAAGGGATTAATTAATAAGGAATTGACTGTTGTGAACCAGATACAAGTGGAATAGGGACAATTTATTGTTCTTAACCTTTTTGAGCTCTGTCTTCGTGAACGGGGTTCTCTAGCTTATAAGACTCTACCAACAGCTTTCGATTGCTCTCGTGAATATTCATTCTTCCAAGATACACCTAAAAGAACTAAGTTACTATACAAACACAACGTAAAAAAGGGTCCTAACTAAGACGATCACGCCATAAATTTATTAAACGGCCTATATTTAAACCTTTAGAAAGATCAAGTTATACTGGTCACGTAAATTAGATGTATTTATATATCTTACAGATATAGATTCTAAAGAAATACAAGTATAAGTGGATATATAGTAGAAGAGAAAAAAAGATGGGGGGGGGGTTCGTTACAATACGTCAAAACACCTTTGAGCCTACCCACCGAAAAAGTATATAAGTTGCAGGAAAAGTATATAATCGTAGTGACTATTGCTGTGAATTATCATTCAACATTGCTGCTTTGTATTGCTCTTTTGCATCATTTATAATTTTAAAAAGCATCATCAGCAAATATGGGGGCAAAGTTTAAATAAATATATAGCCATAGTCATAAAGAAACAAAGTATATGATTTATTATTTCCTGTTCCTGTTCTTTATGGCTGACCAAACGTTCCTTCCTCCTTCCGAAATTGGCTCACGAGATGGTACTGCATAATCTGATAATTCCGATTATGGCCGAGGTGAAACAATATATGCAGTTTAATCTAATGGCGTTGTTTCTACTGAAGGTGAATCTAAATTAGAAACTTGTTGTCTCTCTTGAATAAAAGGTGGCAAGAATTGTAATTCTGTCTCATATCTTTTAGGGCGGTGCATACCACCAGCACAACCACTAGCATCTGTTTGGGCTTTCACTGCTTTCGTATAGTTATCCCGTATTTTTTTAAGTCTTTCTGTCAATCTCCTACTGAAAAAAAAAATTAGTTTGTAGAATCACATCGCTGTTTTTATTTATAATACTTTCCAGATTCTTAACAACCGGTACCACTTAAATAAAACTAATTTTACGGTACCAGTTTCAAAGCTCTGTCTTTCATTTACCGCATGGGATATATAAACTACGTTTATGAAGTGTGCGGCTATCTGGAAAGTATTCAGACCTATAGTGATGCGTAAACTACATTCGAATAAGGCCACGTATTTTAATTACAAAAAGTATTTCAGTACAGTGCTGCTATCACAAAATATATTTTTGCCTGGAACAAAGCAAGTTTTACCACATGTAATTGTAGCAGATGAATTCTTTGAAAATATATAATGCGCATATATCCCAGAAACCAAATTGAAGGAGTCCAAAAAAAAAGATATATAATTATATATTATGTCGAACTCGACGTATTGTAGAAAGTGCTTTTGGAATTATGAGGTAGAAATTTGAAATTTTAGATAGAAGCCTTATTATTTAGATAACATAAAACTAGCTTGTACATGTTTACACAATTATATAATAGACGGGGAAAATTTAAGATATGATACGTAATAAATAACACATCAAACAGCACAATTATTGTAAATATCGAATCTCATGACGAAGACAGTGTTTTGTTAATGATTATACGTGAAAAAATTAAGGATTATTTCTCAGAAGAAGGGCGTGATAACGGGCCAGATGATATCATGGATCGATGTTAATATAATTGTAATAGTAGTTTAAAAGTAATAAAACATGCAATTTTAAAAACTTAAATGATGTTTTTACCTACCTGTTTCACCTATTTCGCCAGCAATTTTTTCGCTTCGGTGAAGCCGGCGACCGAAAGTGGATAAACGCGGAGTGGCGCACATACTCGCGCAGTCCCGTTTCTCCGCGCTACCTTATGCATGTAGTTGCTTCGATGCTCTCAGCAATTATTTGTTGTGTTGTTGTTGATTTTGGATATTATTTTAACGAGGACAATGTTGATAATTCCCTTCTTGGATACGGTTTATTTTCTTTATGCAAATAAAAAACATGCGTAAGTGTCGTGGAACACTCGGTTGGAACGGAGTTCCTTTCGTAATATATTATTATTGATAAAGGTATTATATTAGTGATTAACTAATACAAATAAATGAATTACTAGCGTCTATTAAATGAAGCGTGAAATAATATTTCTTTCATGGCAAGATAAGGAAAAGTGCGATGTAAATGGATATTATTCCATCTCGCTTCCTTAAAGCCGTCAAGGCCGTCTATACTACGTCAGAAGGGGTCGTGACGGAAAATTCTTAAGCTACGGATAGCGCGTTCCTGTGTTACGCGTAGTTGGGAAACACTGTCCACGCATACATTGGATACACGTACAGCTCCTGTACGGACCGCCGCGAACCTGTACGCGAGGTCAATCGATCCAGAGCGCTCCGCGAGCCCCAGTCATTCGCCATGACTCCGACAAACTTAGCGGTTGCGTGCACCACCACTGCTGCGGCGTTAGTCATTATTCAACACATTTTAAATAAAAAAAAGAGAAACAAACGGAAACCTAGATGGTGGATGAAAAAATTGTATCGTGAAAGATTACAGTGTGGAAATAGGCTAATGGAAGATATAAATTATGAAGAAAGTGGGGACAAAAATTTTGTGAGAATGAGTTTGCAAGATTTTGAAATAATTCTTGAAAAGGTTGAACCTGAAATAAAAAAATGAATACTAATTTTCGAGAAGCTATCACAGCCAGAGAAAGGCTATCCGTGACGTTAAGGTTTTTGGCCACCGGTGACTCATATACAAGTTTACAATATCTGTTTCGCATATCTAAACAGTCCATATCTACTATTATTATTGAAGTTTGTGATGCAATTATCAAGGCTCTCAAGGATCATGTGAAGGTGAGTTAATGAATAAAAACGTTTATGTTTATCTGCTCATTTAATATGTTAATTAAAATTTTAGAAAATTATAATTTAAGTACTTAAAGAAGTTTTATTAAAGTATAATTAAGAATTTCTGAATTATTCTTCTTGTTCTTGAACGTAACGTAATATTTCAGAAATTTCATTTTGATTATCCTCCGCTTCCCTTGGAGGTTCCGGTGTTGATGTAGGTGCAGTTTCTGCTGGAATTTGCGTGTTGCTGTAATAGCTTTGGCGTGAGGTAGAGTTGGAGAAATCCGTTGAATAGGCACCGGTATGATACCCACACTGACCTGGTAATTGGCCCATATCAGCTTGAAATATAATATTATTTATAGCATGTTTTACTAGTGTAAATGTTCGCGAGTCGTATTTTTTTAATTCATACGCAATCTGGGTCCCAAAAGAAGTGTAACAGTCTTCTTCCTTGGATAAATATTGTACACTGTGCTTGAATAATCCCACTGCTTCTGTTAATGTGCTTGTTGTGTGGATGAAGTCAAATCACTAGGTACTTGTTGTGTGGATGAGGCAGAATTCCTTGGTGTTTGTTGTATGGACGATGAAGAATTACTGGGTGCTTGTTGTGTGGATGTGATGCATTACTGGGTGCTTGTTGTGTAGATGAAGTCAAATCACTAGGTACTTGTTGTGTGGTTGAGGCAGAATCACTGGCTAATTGTTCATCATTTGATATAGATTCATTCACATTCTGTGTGTCGTTGCTGGTAGTTATCTGAAAAATAAAATAAGAAAAACGTTAACTTAGATGAAATAATTTGTTACAGCTACCCGAGACTGAAAATCAATGGATGGCCGTTGCAAAAGAATTTGAAGAAAAGTGGAACTTCCCTCATGCAATAGGCGCAATGGACGGCAAACATGTTTGCCTTCAAGCACCATTAAATAGTGGAACGGAATTTTACAATTATAAACAATATTCTAGCATTGTATTGTTAGCATTAGTTGACGCTGACTACAATTTTATGTACATAAATGTTGGATGTCAAGGACGCATATCAAATGGAGGTGTTTTTAAAAACACTTCCTTGTATAAGAACCTTGAAAACAAAAGCCTAAATTTACCGAATCCTGAAATATTACAAACTCCTTACAATGTGAAGGTACCGTATATAATTCTGTGTGATAAAGCATTAGCCCTCAGTGAATATACCATGAAACCCTTTTCGGGTAATCCAGAAAGAGGATCTATTGAAAGAATATTCAATTATCGTCTATCAAGAGCAAGGAGGGTAGTTGAGAATGCATTTGGAATACTGAGTTCGGTGTTTCGAGTACTACGAAAACCAATGCTTTTGGAACCGGAAAAAGCTACATAAATTGTATTGGCAACTGTTTATTTACACAATTTTTTACGAAAAAGCAGACTATCAAATATTTACGCACAGACCAATGCATTTGATTCTGAACAGCGAGGAGAGCTTGTTCCAGGTGCATGGCGCCAAGACCAACAGCAATTAACTTCTTTTTTCCTTTAGACAGTGTACCTAGGAGATTGCCCAATACTCCTACTCATATACGTTTACATCTGGCGGAACACTTTGTTAATAATGTCCCCCTTGAGTGGCAAAATAATCACTAAGTTTTAATGTAACATATATATTAAATAGAACGTGTACTACCTACACGGATTAACGTAGACTAAAATATGTATAATAAAATTGAAAAAGCCTCATAAAGCAGCTGGTCCATTTTCTCAGACACCAGTATAAATATTGTTACGAGCTTGGGGTTCGAGACAATTAAAAACTGCCGATTGAATTACCAAAATTGACACTTTAATTACACAACACTAATTACAATCTAAAATCACACTAATAATAAAACACAGTTCGCCGTTATTTCGCTTCGAAGTATTCTCTTGTATCGCCAATTCAATACTGCCCCGGTCGTGGTCTATACCGGCCTTATATAGGGCCTCAGATAGTTTCCAGAACCTTCTACTGTAGCGACATCTAGAATGTTCGAGTACATATCGGTCCCGAAATTTCTGGAAGGATCTCGACTCGCCTAGTTCTGCTACTCGACACTAGAGGGCGCTAGTGTGACTAGTGTTGCCATGTACAAGACATTAATAGTGGCGCGCAATACTTTCATTTACTCGACACTAGGGGGCGCTAGTGTAACTAGTGTTGCCATGTACAAGACATTAATAGTGGCGCGTAACACTGCCCCCTCCTAAGACATGCTCGTCCCGAGCATTATTGGCCCCATAATAACGCGCCAGTCGATCCACATGGACAATCTTAGGAGTACCTCTGGCACCCTTCTGTATCCGGTAGGTTACATCATTGATCCTTGTCACAATCCGGTACGGTCCGTCCCATTTAGCTTGAAGCTTAGGAGATTTCCCTTTCCTGCGAACTGGATTGTGTAACCACACTAGTGAACCTTCATCAAAGCCCTTGTTGTTCATTTTGCGGTCATACCGTGTTTTCATCTTCTCAGACGTTTGCTGGCCCGTCTGTCTGACGTGCTCATAAATGTCATTCATTTTGTTCCGCAAGTCATTTGCATAATCGGTTATACTGCGTGGGGCATCAGGTGGTATTCCGGTGATCAGGTCTGCAGGCAGCCGCAATTCTCTCCCAAAGTTTGCGAAAGCTGGTGTCACTGATGTACTTTCGTGAACAGCGCTTCGATATGACAACAAAAACGGTTGTATGTGCCTGTCCCAGTCTCGTTGCCGTTTTTCCACAACTTTTGCTAGGTACCTCTCCAATGTCTGATTAAATCTTTCTACCATTCCATCAGATTGTGGGTGGTAAGAAGTTGTTCGTGTTTTCTGAGTACCCATAACTCGGCAAGTTTCCTGGAATATTTGAGACTCAAAATTCCTTCCTTGATCGCTGTGAATCTCTAAAGGTACTCCAAAACGACAGAAGACTTCATGAACTAGTTTATCTGCGACTGTTGAAGCTTCTTGATTTGGAATGGCGAAGACTTCTGGCCACTTAGTGAAGTAATCCATCACTACCATGAAATACTTGTTACCACTTTCAGTTTCTGGAAACGGCCCCGCAACGTCAATGGCTATCCTCTCCCATGGTGCACCAACATTGTACAATTTCAATGCGCCTCTACTACGAATGTGAGGTCCCTTTACAGCCGCACAACTTGTACATTTGCGGCACCAGTCCTCGACATCGTCACGACAGTGGACCCAGTAAAACCGTTCTCGGATCTTCAGGAGAGTTCGTTTAACTCCCAGGTGGCCTCCTGAACAACCACTATGGTACAGCTGTAGAATATCCGGCACTTTAGCCTTAGGGACAACCATTTGCAAATGACACCTGTCTCCCCGACCATTTTCCCATTTACGGCACAGGACTCCATCCTGAATCAGCAAGCTGTCCCATTGGGCCCAATAGCTTTTCGTGGTCGAACTCATTGCTGAGACGTCGCTCCACTTGGGCTTAGGAGCACTGGCCTTCATCCATTCCAGAATCGGCTTAATGTCCGAATCTTCCTGCTGTGCATGTTGTAGGCTGTCCTTCCACTCATTGCTGAGCTGGTCTGTCCTGAGCATCCTCACAGATACCACTTCCTTACCCTCTTGCCTAGTACAATGCTTGCAATCTTCAGGGCAAGGTCTTCTTGACAATGCATCTGCATTGCCATGAGATTTCCCGCTGCGATGTTCGATCACAAAGTCGTATTCCTGCAGTAGTTCAATCCATCTCGCAACTTGTCCTTCCGGATTTTTGAACTGCAATAGCCATTTCAGTGCAGCATGGTCAGTTCGTAAGTGGAATTTCCGCCCTAGAAGATATTTGCTAAAATGCTGCAAGGACTTTACCACAGCAAGCAATTCCCGTCTTGTGACACAATAGTTCCTTTCCGGCTTTGACAACGACTTGCTGAAGTACGCTATCACAATCTCTTGATCACCATTCCGTTGAGACAACACACCGCCAAGTCCTATATCACTTGCGTCTGTGTCAACTATGAATTCCTTGCCCGCATCAGGGTACCCCAAAATAGGTGTTTTGCACAGACGGTTCTTGAGCTCCTGGAATGCAATATCGCAACTTTCATCCCAGCAGAATTGTCGCTTCTCCTCGGTTAGCTTGTGCAGAGGTTTGGCTATATCTGCAAAGTTCTTCACAAATCGCCGATAATAAGAGCACAAACCCAAAAATGCTCTAACCTGTGTCTTGTCTTTTGGGACCGGCCACTCCTTGACAGCAGCAATTTTCTCTGGATCCGTGCGGATACCTTCTTCCGACACTACATACCCCAAAAAACTAACTTGCCGTTTGAATAGTGAGCACTTCTTTGGACTCAACTTGAGGTTGGCACTCTGGATCTTCATGAGCACGCGTTCCAGGTTTTGAAGGTGTTCCTCAAACGTACGGCCTACGATGATGATGTCATCCAAATAGACGAGACAGGCATCTCCAATTAGCCCGGTAAGTACAAGCCCCATCAACCTTTCAAACGTTGCTGGAGCATTGCACAATCCAAACGGCATGACTTTAAATTGCCACAGGCCCTTTCCTGTGGAGAATGCAGTTTTCTCCTTGTCCTTAGGGTCAATTTCAACCTGCCAGTAGCCACTTTTCAGATCCAGCGTACTAAACCACTTTACGCCTGTAAGCATGTCCAGCGTGTCATCAATTCTTGGCAAGGGATAGCTGTCCTTCTTCGTAACGTCGTTCAGGCGGCGGTAGTCAACACAAAACCGCATGCTGCCGTCCTTCTTCTTTACCAGCACCACAGGTGAACACCATGGACTAGATGAAGGTTCAATAACACCATCCTTCACCATTCCCTCAATCATGGTTTCCACTTCCTTTTCACGTGCTACAGGCAATCTTCTTGGCCGTTGACGAATAGGCAATTCTTGTCCTGTGGTTTATTTTGTGTTGAACTAAGCCAGTCTTTCCTATGTCAGCTTCGTTTGACGAGAAAACATTGGCGTACTTGAGTAACAACTTCTTCGCCTTGATCATTTCATTTGGGGAGAGAACGCTGCGACAGTCTTCTAAAAGTGTGGTCACTCTCGTTTGTCCATCCTTGCTGAGGGTCCCAGTCGATAGATATTGGCACTGACGCAACCAATCCACTTTCTCACTAGTACCAACCAATGTGCCTTTTTCTATAATCTGTTCCTGATCACAAAGGTTCGGCACACGTACTTCTGAGATATCGGCGGTTCTGACCAAGGTTCGAGCCACTATCCATGGAAGGTCGTTGTCTACCCTTTCCACGAGTACACAACGAAGAGTTTGCCCAGGATTCCGAGGAAGTCTAACCGGCACAATCGTTTCCGATCTCGGCGGAAGAACAATCTTCTTAAGGCTGTACACATTCCCTGGTAACGCCCCTTCCATGAAAAGTTCCTCTTGTCCACATTTCAAAACACCTTGCTTAACGTCGATCTCACAACAGTTCTTCCTCATAAAGTCTAGGCCTAGGATGCAGTCGTCCATTATATCAGCCACGATGACATTATGCAGGTAGATCATGTTGCCTAGCTTCAACTCCATCTCCTTCTCTCCACGGACGGGTATGCGCTGACCAGTGGCTGTCACCAAATTATTGCGTTCTCGGTTGTATGCGGAGTCCCCAAGGAACGGACTTATAAGTTGGGAACTGACAACCGTGCGAGAGGCTCCAGTGTCTATGGTCAGTTTACACGGCGTTCCGTTGACTTCGCCCTTGATGATTAGGCTGTTCCCATCATGGGTTTGTGAGATCGAAATCCTTGGGGCTCTTTTAACATCAGCCAGCACCCGCCCCGCAGTCCTGGCTTTTACTCGTTTCCCTGCTGCTGCTGGGTGGTGCTATTAGCCGCACTACCCTCTCGAGATCGATCACCTTCCCTTTCTACAGTTCGCTTAGGGCAGCTGGATCGAAGATGGCCCCTTTCCCCACAGCCGTAGCACCTAGGGCTGTAGCTTTTATTGCGGTCCTGAACTGTAGCTGCTGCAACCTCCCTGACGCGGTGGGAACGATGATCCTGCCGCACGGCTTCCACCTCCAGTGCATGGGTCAAGGCGTCCTTAAGCGTCTCGTGGTGCCCGAGCCTCACAGCAGCTCTGACTTCAAGGTCGCGGATGCCGTCGATGAATGTCTGCACCAGGTTCCCTACAATAAGCGCAGGTACAGACTGGTACGCTTTTCGAACCAGCTTCTCCACCTCAAGGGCCCACTGCTGCAGGTTTTCGTTACTGCGTTGCACGCGATCTTTGAGCTGCGCACGAAAGACGTGTTCCAGGTGAGCGTCGCCATATCTCGCCTCCAATGCCTCAAGGAGCTGCTCGTAAGTCGCTTCCTTACCGAGAGCTTCCAGAACAGTTAAGGCCTGGTCGCG